ATGGTGGACTTTCATATACTTGTGCTGGGTGAGTTGGTTAGCAGTTTACCACAGCACACAGGAGTGAATCCAACTGTAATGTTGATAGCTAAATGACTTAAGTGTAAACATAACTCTTTACAACAGATTGCTGGATGCCTTCCATAGGTCTAACGGTTCATTATGAACATGTTTTTGTACGTGCATGTTCAAAGGCAATCTGTACTTTTAATGAACTCACATTGGGCCCTTTGTATATATATGCCAAAAGATCCATGATGTGCTCTACTTGTACGACAGAATATAAAAGCAGACCATTAGCAAACTAAAGGCTTTTACCATTATAAGGCAATGCTGCACATTATATACAGTATGAGATATAAACATAATACACATAAACTAATGCAGAAATACCCTTGTGAAAAAGATAATGTAAGATAATGTTGCAGATAATGTAATATTACTTAAATAAAAGGCCACTTAAGTGTACTTAAAAAGAGACAGTTTCATGACTATGATTCTTAACATACTTAAGTAGACTTTTAAAAAGCGCAGTTTGTAATAATGTTACATGAGAAGTTTTATTTTAAAGTACATTTAAAAAAATAGTTTTAATAACATTTTGTAGTGCTTTAAAGAAGTACACTTATTTTGATGTGTTGGCTAACATACTAAAGCAAAGTTAATATATTTAAAATGTATTAAACATTATTACAAAGGTGCAATTGCAAATACATTTTTACATAGTTTCTATAGAAACAACATTGAAGTATATTTTAGTTTAGCATAAAGGCTTGTCTAGTTTATTCAACAGAACACTTTAACTATATTTCAAAGTCAATAGAGTTATGAAATTACATGTAAAGATGTACTTAAGTCCTAGTTAAATGGGTAAAACAGCAAGTTCAGCTAATTGAATCTAATATGCATTTAAACAAAAATGGATTTTAATTTAATTGGAATTAACATGCAATTAATTCTTTTAAAATATATTATTTCCACAATAGGTACCATTTTTAAGTACTGAACACCATGACCTCCATTATGTATCACACTGAACAGCTGTTTATCATGAACAGTATTTCTCAGCTTCATGTCATATACGTTTTTAGGCATGTTTCTCTGAGTCAGGTAAAAGTTACGTCTTCCAGATGACTTAGAGGAGCATGGGGTCACTCCACACACATGGAAGCACACATCTGTGAGAACGGTTATATTATCAGCTCAAGCTCTCTCATGACAGCACAGGCAAATATTTGACTGCAGCTAAAACAGGAATAGTTCACCCAAAAATGGAAATTTACTCACCCTCAGGCCATCCAAGGTGTAGATGAGTTTGTTTCTTTATCAGATTTGGAGAAATGTAGCATTACATCACTTGCTCACCAGTGGATCCTCTGCAGTGAATGGGTGCCGTCAGAATGAGAGTCCAAACAGCTGATAAAAACATCACAATAATCCACAAGTAATCCACACCACTCCAGTCCATCAGTTAACATCTTGTGAAGTGAAAAACTGTGTTTGTAAGAAACAAATCCATCATTAAGACGTTTTAACATCAAATTGCTTATTCTGATTAAAATTCAAGTCCATAATATTCTTTCTCCAGTGAAAAAGTCATCTCATCTGAGTCAGGAGAGAAATATGCACAGATCAAGCACCGTTTACAAGCCAAAAAAGTCCAAAACACTTCTAAACAAATATGTGGGTGTATTTTGATTTGAGAGACAACAGAGGTTGAACTTTTTCACTGGAGGAAGCGTTATTGTGGATTATGGACTCTATTTTGGCCAGAAGCGACAGTTTAAAGTTAAAAGCATCTTAATGATGGATTTGTTTCTTATAAACATGCAGCTTTTCACTTCACAAGACATTAACTGATGGACTGGAGTGGTGTGGATTACTTGTAGATTATTGTGATGTTTTTAATCAGCTGTTTGGACTCTCATTCTGACGGCACCCATTCACTGCAGAGGATCCACTGGTGAGCAAGTGATGCAATGCTATACATTTCTCCAAATCTGGAAAAAAAAAGAAAGAAACAAACTCGTCTACATTTTGGATAACCTGAAGGGGAGTACATTTTCAGCAAATTTTCAGTTTTAGTTGAACTATTCCTTTAATGTTAATGAAAATAATATTCATTATTTATAATTCTGCTGTTGCAGTTCAATTACAGTGTTTTTCTGAAGCAGGCATACTGTATGTCCCCTGCTGGTCAACAGTGGAATATCAGTTTTCCTGAAAGTGATGTGATAGATAAGCATGATTTATTAAAACAAGGACCATATTAATCAAATTAGCAGAAAATAAAATATACACAAACACCAACAGATCTTCATTCATCCCAACTAGATTTTAGAGTGCATCCGTTTAGAAGTTATTTAAAAGCATGTATATCCAGTTATGCATATATATATATATATATATATATATATATATGTATAAAAACAGACTTAGATTTATGAGTCAAGGCTCTGTGGTTACACTGCATTTCTCCAGTAGTGTTGTATTTTAAAGGTACACTTTTAAAATGATAATGACACCAAAAACAGAAGCTTACTTTGTCGGTTATACTTTTATGAGGGTTAAACTTGGGTGTACTGTAATATCATTACAAAACGTTAAAGTTGGCCAAAGCTGAAGTCATTAAGTTGCCATTACAAGGACTGAAACCATACTAATGGCTATTAATGTTTTACTGAATTGTAAAATATGACTATATTTTGAACACTTTATGGAGCTACAAATAAATGAGGCTTTCAGCTGAGAAATAAATTATTGCTTAACTACCTGTACACTGGCCAGGAACACTGATCATCCAATATGCCCACTATAGATGACTTCAGACTCACGTCTAGTCTGTTATTGTTGATTTTTTTGGTCAGTTCTACTGACTAGCAATATAATTACCATATTTACCAGGGCATTACTTTTGGTATGCTACATATTATCAGTTACACTGCTGGACTCAAAATTGTAGAAGCAACCAGTGTAACACTCTGTAATCTATTTTATGTGAAGAGGTACACTGTAAAAAATTATATTTTGGTAAATAAAACAAAGATTATTGGATTATGTTTTGCAAGAAAATACTATTTCTGTCTTGAAAATTTCATGTTTAATTCAATGTGTTACTTGGTGTTTCTTTGTAGTTTCTTGAGAGGTTTACTAATCCTACAACAATTTTATTTCTGGTCCTCTGATCTGTGTGGCTTTCCAAGAGTGCTGATATTTAATAGCATTTGTAATGTTCCAGGCAAATAAAATAAATTAAAATACAAAAAATAAAAATAAAATAAAATAAAAACAATGGTATCAAGTATTTGCATCTAGTTGATTTTTTAAAATCATATTTTCAAAATGTATTTATTCAAATTCCATAGAATCAGCACAAAACTGTTAATTGTGAAAACAATTAAATTTTAAAATGTAATTTTAAAAAGTACGTATATATACGTATATACATGATATAAAAACGGCTAGTTGTAGGCCAAGAAAATGAAAATTCTATGCTATGAAAATTCTATCATCATTTACTCAGCCTCCACTCATTCCACACCAAACAGTTGACGGTAGCCATTGACTATATAGTATAAGGAAGTCAGTGGCTACTGTCAACTGTTTGGTTACCAACATTCTCCAAAATCTCTTCTTTTGTGCTCAATAGAAGAAAGAAACTCATACAGCTTTGGAACAACTTGAGGGTGAGTACTTTTATTTTTTGGGTGAACTGTCCCTTTAAGTATATTAGTTTGTTTGTTAAAACTGTGTAGTCCAAATTAATGGAAATTTTATATGCAATTAAAATACATAATTTTAAATATTAGGCCTAAATTGCTTGGTGTGAGTAACTGAGCGTAGTAAAAACAATATGGGTTTTTAAAAATCTTAATGTTTTCTCTGTTTGAAAGTGATTTCTTTCACCACTGAGCATAAAATCTTTTTTTTCTCTGTTTAAATACCGTATTTCATAGCCATGAAGAGCTTTTAAACTTGTTAAGCCGTTACATATACAAAGCATTTAAGTATAATCACGTCTCCACAGGATAAGAGGTTGTGTTGAGGGTGGTGCTGATTATTTCCATATAAATATTCCATATAAATCATTTTGAATACAACTTGAAACATTCAAAATATGCACATGTTCTAAGTTGACACTCACAAAACTTGCTGAAGAAGTTTTACTAATTCGCACATTATCACTAAATCAACGTTTCCTGATAATTCCAGCTGCTGGAAACTAACAGTTTAGATTCTTGATATCTATGATGACAGATTGCATGAACTTGGCCAGCAAACTTTGTTAGCTTTGCTGTGACCATATAAGGACCCTTGCTCAAGTCTGGGACAGGCAGAGCCTACGCAGCACAGATCTGCCTGTAAAATTCAGCTAAAGAAAAACAACTTTGCCAGTGAACATTTATCAAAACAACTGGCCGATTTGAACTTCGTTGGGTGGCCCCTAAGATATGTTGTCATTATGCAAGAATCCAACTCAACGTTTGTTTACAACATTGCCCAAGTGTCCAGCAAAGACGGTTAACCATCATTGTTTTGTGTTATTTAACTGTACAAGAAAACTACATTTATATAAAAAATTTTTTTTGACAATATAAGCCCAGCTTTGTGGTTACAATTATGATAAAAATGTATCAATTTCTCCAAGAACAAAACTTTCAAGATGCCTAAATGTAACATAAAAATAAGGTAAAACTCAGATGAGCTGCTGGTTTTATTTGATCCAAGCTGGTGTAAATCTAATAAACCAGTTGGCGTCCTGGTCTGACCAGTTAAAAAAGTGCCAAAACCCCAACTAAAGACCAGAAAACCAGCAGGGTCTTCTGAAAGTCTATTTGTGTGTTTCATTATAAAAAAAGAGAGACAAACTGGAGAAACGGCCATGATAAAAGAACAGACTACAATGGATATGCGTCATCGTCACCAGGTACGCTGCCAGCCTACTATAACCTGCGTTATTATTAAATCGTCCTCATCATAATAGTAGCCTGTAGTCTCACCTCAAGCAGCTGAATTGGATGTTGAGGGTCTTGAGCGCTCTGGCGGAGTGTGAATCCCCAGGGTGCGCCGCCGCGCAGCATTACGCACGCAAACTCGCCCGTGCCCATCCTCCTGCAGCTGTCCTCCAGTCTGAGAGAAGTCAAGCTTCTCCTGTGCGATATCTGAGGCTGCCTTCGGTGGGTGTAAAGCCAAAACAGCTGGAGTCCGGCCCTCTTTTCGGCGTCATTCTTGAGAGACTATCCTGAGGAGAGTGTTCTTTTACTCGTGACAAAACGCAAATGCATTCAGAGTGATGAAAAGCTCCTGGACGAGGAATATCTCTTGGCAACTCTTGTGAAAAAGAAGTAAACTTTATTTATTTATTTATTTAGTTCGCAGGTCTGTCAGGGGTCACTCCCCACCCACCTCCTATCTCTCCCCTACTATCTCATATCGTTAACAGGACCAGGACGACGCTTAGGGGGGGGAGTGTGACGAGCGTCCCGAAGCTTCATCAGCGTCGCCCTGGAAACAA